TAAATGTAAATTACAAAATGATCTTTCTTTCTTTTTTTAACCAGATTATCATTACTTGTAATTCCAAACGAGCAGGAATCTTGCATTCAGTTTCATCCCAGCTAAACAGACTTTCTTTCCGATTAATAACAATCTTCTCTTCCGCTACGAGATAATCGAATGGAAATATAAAGCGCCAATTGAAATTGCCTTCCCCGGTTAAAGATCGATAATGGATATCTGTTGATTGGCAATCTTCTGGACCTTTTAACCATCTAACAAATCGAGATAAAATTCGTATTAGTCGTAAAAATGCATGCTGTAAAAGTATACGTTATTATATTTGGGAAAGTCTATAGAATCATTCTCTGTAAGGAAGTAAGAAGTTTGAGTAACTTATGAAAATTTCTACTTTCTTCTCAAAACTGATTTTCTTTAAAAATTACGACGACGGAGACAAACGAATGTCATATTCGTATCCAGCAAAATCCACAAAAATCACCTACTTATTTATTGAAACGCAAGATACGCGTTGTACAATGTTAAGTATTACATTATGTACGAGTATATAAGTAGAAATTATATACGTAGAATACCCTTTGACATAAATGTCGCTCATCTTTTCGCCAGTGAAGAATGCATCGTCTTCCAGTACAACGTCGTCGGTGTTCCATATAATAATCCGAAGCTCGTAACTTTTAGGCTTTCTCGGCGAGATATCTATCGACGGTCCCGGTGATGGCATATCCATGGGAAACATGTCGACCCACATTTCCAATTTTCCTTGCTCGATCCCTGGTTTCTCAGGATTATAAAGTGGTCGTGTTTCTACGTGCTCGGGGACCAAAGCGCAACCGATCCTTGGGAAAGCATGCCACTGATGAAGGACTGCCAATGCAAGATGTTCTTCTATACCTAAAAAGATGAACATTTCTAATGCTAATTGTAAGGAAATCTATCGAAGTACGCATTTGCCGAAACAATCAATCGCTGTTGGATTATAAAACATGTATGTTAAGAATTCAAAAGATCTTGAACCATTTTTGAAACATCAGTATCGTTATTTTGTACAACCAAATTCCTAAAATTGACTATTGCGTGGAAGTCTTGCTGTAATTACCTTTCGTATGAACATAGCATTCCATCTCCTCGTTCGATAAAGAAAACGTCTTTCTTCCGATCGTTACTTTCCCGTGCGAATATACCGGTCCGTCGATCTTCCCTTCTTTGCAAAGTCTCGATAAGATTTGCGTCGGTTTCATCGCATCTCTCCATTTGTTGTAACCAGACCTGACAACCAAAATATACCGATTACTTCATTTCAGGACAGAGTAATCGGAACGTTCTTGTTCAAAAGAAATTTACTCGTCGTATTTTTTGGCTAGTCCGCAAGTGGCACGGTGCCTGCTGTAAAATCGATTTTCCAGATCGATTTTCGTTTCACCGATCATGTCGTCCGTACCGACCAAGTCCCAGTCCAACACTTGAACCGTCAGCAACGAGTCCTGCGGGAACGTTGCTTCTATCTCGAAACACCTTGCAAACAAAACACGTGTGAATTTTACGATCGTAACATCGCGCTCCACTTTGCCGATTCGGCTGGCCAAAATTAAAAACACTTTCATACCGAGTTTCCTCGGATAATAGTAATATGATAATAGTAATTAATTATAAATATAAATTATACACAAAGTGTTTCTTAAAGTTATCTATCTTGAATTCTCATCAACCAAATAGATCCACTGTACGTTGTGACGGTACACGATCGAATCGGTACATACTTGCCAAATACGGGATTAAGCTGCTTCGACACATAATTCTCTTTGTCACTGATCCTCTTGCCACCCAGTTGCAAAACCACATAAGGATCTGCTTTGCCATTCAGATCACAAGGATGAAGATCGTTTGCCTTGACGATGTACACCCGCACCAATACGTGAATCGGTTCGTTCGAAGGTACGCCTTGGAAAAAGCCATACTGCGGATCGAATCCCATCACCGTGTGATCTATCAAATCTTTAGGGAGAGGCCATTTGTAAACCTTTAAGGCTCCTTTAAAGCTTCCGACTATTCTGGACTCGTCCTCAGGCTCGTCCCCGGTTTTCTTCCCTCTATAAAGTTCGAACGTGTGCAGCCATTCCTTGAACTGCTCGAACTCCGGCTGAGCTTCCAGTTCGTTCGGATACACTTTCAACAGCGCGATCTTCGGGAACTTCCGGTAGGAATGCTTCGAAACGAACCTGGCCGCATTCGCCGTCGACTTTAGGCCAAACAATCTTTTCGCTGTAACGCCAGGACTCTTCTCACCGGACAGATTCGGTTGATTTTGACCGTAATTTTCCTCCATGAACGTTGGAACAGTGCCGTTCGCTTGTGTTTGAAACATTGGTTTCTCTCTACGTAACTCCTTGTTTTCCTCTATCATAGCTTCGATGGAAGCAAAGTATTTCGTCCACCAGTCTTGACAACCGTCTTCGTCGTCGAACGTACCGAAATCACCTAGACAAAATTCGAACCATTCGAATCAGTGCTGCAGTGTTACCTTTTATGCTTTATATTTCACTTAATGTACTTACCCATGCTTCCATCGTTGACCAAGCTTTGCTTTTTCTTAATATTCTGTTCCGTTTTGTCTTTCTTCGTTGGCCAACCGGGCTCCAAGCCGAGAGTGATAATCACGTCTCCAATAGCGAACTCGAGATCGGTTAATGACTCTGGTAAAGATGGATAGTGTAATTTAGTCTTCGATGTATCAAAACCTGAACAGAGAACAGAACAATTCAGCGAAAGTAGATAAATATATGAAGTGTTCATTTGTTTATTTACACAACTTGCTCCCACGGTAGATTTAATTGATTCTGAATGACTCGAAATCATTTTACCTGTGTATTGCTGTAATTGATACAAATTCTTCTTTCTCTCTTCGACGTCCTTCGCTTTCTTCGTTTGCGGATAATACATATACTTATGGATCGAATTTATCGTATGCGTTCCAACGAGAGTATAGCGACCGAAGCTTCTGCAATCTACAGCTCTGATGGTCAAAGGTGGCCGATAGAGTTCTTGCTCCGGTAGTTCCAGTTCCAGGAACTTTACCGGCGTGTTGAAATTTGGATTCTTCCTAGCGTTCGTTATGACCGAAGAGTAGAGGATGTGGCCAGCACATTCGACGTCTACGCGAGGCTTGTCCACAGTCATTAGATGTATTCTCTTTAAATCCCTTAGACCCCAAAACAAAACCTCGATCCTGCCACATCAAACAACAGTGCACGCTATTTTTAATTTGAATTTTTGTTTATTTCTAAATTGCTTCTTCGAATTATTATGATTATCCTTTTATTAGACTTTCGTTGCATGTCTATTATTTTCAACTCAGTTTAATTAATTTATTTCTATTAAATAAAAGACCACTAATGTACAGAAGATAAAATTACAGAGAAAATAGAGATTACCGATTATAAATTATACAAGTCGAAGTTAAAAATGAAATTATATAAGTAATTACCGATATTTGGAGAGAGTTGGTCGAATGCCAACCGGAACCGGAAGAATAGGTCCCCGATCTTGAGCCGCGATTGATGTTTGGCTCGGCATTTCCTTCGGGTCCGGCAACGTGGGAAAGCCATAATCCTTCGCCGAGGGATATTCGAGTAGCTCGAAAACGGCAAGAAGTTCACCGGCTCTTGCTACACCTCTTGTCACATCGTACCATTCTAACGACGGTGGAAATTTGGG